GGACATTTTATTATATACCTCACCCATTAACTGAGCTACTAATTGTTAAATGAAAATTATGTTGTATTTTATTTTGTTAGATTTTAATAAAGAAATGTGTTTTAGTTGGTGTTTTGCTTGAATGTCTCAGAAAATGGAGCAAAATTTATAAAGTTTAGAACCAACACTGCAACACCAAAACTATCAGCGTTGTAGCCTCGTCAATGTCCCAATGTTAGTTTTGAACATTATAATGCTGGAGTCTCGAGAAAATTTCACTAAAGTAAGTGTCCTAGAAATTCAAAGGATAATGTCGTACTATTGAAAGTGAACATTGTAGTGTTAGAGTCTTGAGAAAAATTGCAAATAATTCAATGCCAGATCATCGAACTATAAAACATTGTAGCACTGGGAAACATTGGAATGCTTATCTTTTGCAGCATCATAGTGAAATAGTTTAGGAAAAGAATCAGGCCGACTCATCCAAAAGTCACTCCTATTCATTCAAAACATGTGTTGGGTTAATCCAATGCTACAATAGAGCAACTCAAGCAACGCTTTGGTGTTAGTTCATATTCAAACACCACAATGCGCATTTTAGCGCTTGAGTCACTTTTTGTATTAAGTATAAATTGTTTCTATCTTTTTCTATGGGGGTTTTTTTAGAGAAGTCTAGAGGCGAATCTGAGAGAGATCAGGGAATAAAAATTTAGAATAGATGTTCAACATTATAGTGAACAAATAATCAATTAGAGAGGATAAAAGTGTGGAGAGAGAAGTTATAAGTGGAGATTCACTGGTCCATCTGTATGATCTATTTGGTATTTTTCATTCTGGGTGATATTTTCTTTATCTTATATACTTGTACTTTCTTTCTTGAGCAAGTAATGGAATTCGTATTGCTAAATTTTTATTCAATGGCTAAATAAACTAATAGTTTTTTACTAATGATGTAAAAAACCTTTATAATTATTAATGTAGACTCTTGTATTTTAGAGTATGAATGATTATTTTTTTATCTCCAGCTCTTTATTTAATTTATATAGTGGAATGTATAAAATTAACATCTAGTGTGATATATTATCTTGATAGAGAATTTAGATGGAATGCTTGTATGCTTAGATATAGGATGCTTAATACTCCAGGGTTTATGGATATTTAATAATTTTAGGAAGGTCATAAACCTTTCTTTACATCCTTACAAACTCAATAGAGATCTAAGAATGTATAAGCTCTGATTCACAACTATTGTAGAGGAGTCTACTTAGAAAAGCTTAGGATATTCACTATCATTAGTCTGAAACACTTTAATTAATGGCATCATCACTATTTTTTGTATTTCCCATTAGAGAGAGAGAGTTTTCCCGTAATTATATTTTGTAGGATAAATACTGTATTTTGAGAAGACGTTACTGAAACATTTGTGTAGTATAATATTTTCTCATGAGATCTATAATCTCTCATATATTTTATTACTTGATTAGCACATACACTTACATTTTTATTTAGGTTATACCCAAGTAAACATAAATTAAATACAACTCCTATCAACAATGCTACAAACTATGATACATATTATACTATGTACTATCAAAGTCTAGATAGAACTCAACTTTTCAGTCAGTTTAGGCTCTTAGGGATTCATCAAATTAAATCTCAAAATCCACACTTCAAAATGATCATATGTAGATGAAAAATAGAAAAAGATATAAACACTTTAAATTACCCTGAGGCTACTAACCTTCTATAAATAAATCCTATGGATCTATTATAATTAATTCCTTCAAAATTATTACTCTGATATAAAAAATTAATTATTATAACCCAAATAAACATTATCGTTATAATGAATGAGTCAAATTATGTCGTCTTACAATAATTTTGTTCTCAAGATCTATTTCGAAGGAATTTTCATTGAATAATAGAATATAGAGCCATTAAAACATCAAAATAATAATACAAAGAATAACATAAAAATATTTTGATTCATCTTTAAAAAACTTTATAGATAAAATATTTGTATATACAATAATCATGTTACAGAATCATAGAACATCATCATCAGAATCACGCTAGGATTGCTAAAAGAATTCACTACATAGAAGTATACCTAATCACTTTCCCTTTCTTTAGCCAGAAATATACACATAAAGATATAATAGTTATGAGATAATTACAACTTAATAGGCTACACTAAACCTACTTAAATTATAGAAATGGAGAAGCAGACTACACATATAGAAACTCCTAATAGAGTAATATAAGGTTTATAATTATTTCAGGATAATAATTCTATTATGTAATATAAGTAACATACATTCATAGATATTATAATAAAACATATTACATTAGATTTAGTTCTAATTACATTAGATTATTTCAGTCCTAGGTCCTTATACCTCCCAATTATTCATAGATAATAGAGTATTTATAGAATGAGGATCTTGTAACTTCTAATGCACATCATATCTGATATAAGCCCTTATATCAGATATGATATAAAGGTCTTGGTATAAGCCCTTATATCAGATATGGAACTCCAGATCTTGGTATATCAGTATCAGATCTTCATGATTCCCATTGCATAGCACCAATTCTTCGTGTAAAATTTAGGCCCTTATACATCCACTCGGATACACATATAATCAATAATAACTACCATCATTTTTTTAGATATGATCAATCATGCAATTACAAAACCATCACACTTTCATTAGAGATAAACATAATCATACACATCACATAATTTCATAAAACTATACATTTATTAAATAGTAGTCTGAATTTTGGTGTAAATTTACATATACAATTAAATGCTTGCTTATCGTGAAACTATTCACATACACCATTTATATCAATATTTTGGGGTTTTTTTTACTTCTACTTGAAATTTTATCAGAACCTGGTGATAAAATATTCTGATAAAATAAAAAAATTTCAATCAAGATTACCTTTATTATATTATTTATGCTTGTAATCCTTATATTTTGTACAGAAAGATAATAGAAAATCATAAAATTGGACTAGCACTGTAGCACAGAACTCATTTTAATGTTGCAGAGCTACACCTTCACCACCATAGCAGTTAGCTTACCTAAAAAATCTATTGGAGAGCTTAGCGCTGAAGTGTTATCCAAGGAGCACCATAATCTTGCATCAAATTGATGCATCACTAAATCACCTAGCACTACTGTGGGAGTTAGTTAAACTAGTGAACTGATGCGATGGTTGGTGAACCGACGCACCATTCAATAGCATCAAAAAGTCATCAGACCAGCTCCATAGTGCTTTCAAGCCAACGCTACAACGCTCATTTAGTTAATTTGTAGAACTTTAAATAATATCATTTAACTTCTTGTAAAGGGCTTGGCACATTATGAAGTTATTTTGTGTGAGTGAGTGTGAGTGTTAGGGTTATCTTGGGAAGAGTGTAGCTTGTGTTCTTGTATATGGAGTCTTATATTAGAGTACTTTAGCAAAGTGAAAAGTGCAAATGATTAGTAATATTAATTCCAAGTCATTTCTAACCCTTATTTTATTTATTTATTTTGTTATCTTGTGTTTTTCACTTTGTAACTTATTTATCATTCAATAAAATAAAATATTTGTTATGTATAACATTGTCACCATGTGCAGATAAACATTTTTTAACCTATGATGATTTGAAAGGCATGCATTACTTAGAGTAGGTTTAATCTTTAATGTATCCATATTATTTTTAGTTTCTTTGAGCTTCAATTGGTTTATGTATAAGTTGTACATAAAATAAAAACTTTGTGTGATCTAGAGCCTCGATAGAGGAATAGAAGAATAATTAGAGAACTTAAAATGTGGTCCAAGCATAATTTAGAAATATTGTGGTTAGAATTATAAGATCCTAAGGAGGTAGAAGAATTGTGTTTAGTGAGGATCCTAGCTTATGTTTCGATGATCTCGATAGAGATGAGGAGTACAATCGCTTTGATCTAGAGAAAAAATAAGAAGCAAACCTCTCTAAAGCAATCAAGGTCTTTTGAAAAATCATAGATTCAAAATTTTAAAATTAGTGAATATTCTTTTTTACAATTTGAAGCACTTCACTTTTAACCAGCCTCACCTTTTAAATTAGCTCAAAAAATTTGGTAGTTTAGTAGTCAATAGTAAAGTGAATCTAGGATATTTCCATATTTTCCCTCATGGGTTAGACACACTTTTCATCATTATATTTGATATGATACATGCACTTGCATTAAAATAAGTCTTACACCAAAGAAAAAATCAAACTTCCATTAGAAAATGAGTAGTATGTGTACGTTAAAACATGAAACTATGTATTTGAATAAGTTAAATTATAGTTACAGTAGTATCATATCAAGTTTTTTGCACTGTTATCGGGAAACATAACCAGTGAAATTGCTATCATGTTTTACATTTTATATTACTAAAATAACTATTAATTTAATCAAGTTTTCTTTTTAATTTTAATTTTCTTAAATTTTTACCTGCATAGTGTTACTTTGAGATATGATTAGCTTTTATAGTTCAATATTTTACATTTTCTATTATATTGCTTATTGTTGCATGTGTAGTATTATACAACTAATAGCTTTATTGTTAGACACTAAAATTAAATAAATAATAAAAAAATTACGAAAATTTGAAACAAATTTCATAATGGCTAAACCACTTGGAGAATACTCCTACCCTATGGTTGGGGGTATTTATCAAATTCAAAATAAACCTAACATACAAGCTAATAATTTTAAACTAAAAGTTACCATCATAGAGATGGTGCAAAATGCTTCATTTGGGGGAACACCTTTATATGATCAAATCTACATATAGCTAATTTCCTAGATATTTATGCAACTTTTAAATATAAGGGTGTTAGTAATGATGCCATTAGACTTATATTATTTGTATTTTCACTTAGGGAAAAAGCTAAAATGTGATTAAATTTATTTCTATCAAGCTCAATAACAACATAGATTGATTTTGCCCCTAAATTCTTAGCTAAACATTTTTCACTATAAAAAAATGCCAAACTTAGAAATGACATCACTTCTTTTACCCATTAGATGTTGAATCTATTTATTATTCATGAGAATTTAAGGAACTTGTTTAGAAAATTTCCTCATCATGTCGTTCCTAATTGGTTAATCATCCAAACTTTTTATAATGGTCTTATAGGTTCCCTTAAATAAGTTATTGATGTCATTGCTGGTGGTTCTCTGATGTTAAAGCCCTTTGATGAGGCTTATGCTTAGATTGAGGAGATAGCTATCAATAGTTCTTAATGGCCATCTAAAATAATTAATCCTATAAACATGGCTAGCATTTATGGATATGATGCCTATCAATTTTAATTGCTATGTAGCTATCATTTCAAGAAAATTAGATAACCTTGGAATTGATCACCTTAAAATTCACATGCGATCTTATAAGAAAATATCTATGGAACCTCTAGGTGATCCTAATATTTTAGGGGTTGAATTAATTAATGCAATAAATAATAGAACTAATGACACCTACTCTAACTCTCGTAATCCTGACTAGAAAAATCATCCAAATTTTAGTTGAAATAATAATCAAAATTAAAACAATATTTGGAACTCTAACCAACCAAATCAAGTAGGGATCTGGAACAACTCTCCTCAAAATTTAATTTGCTAACTCAAGGCCTAATTATCCCTCTAGATTCAACTCAAATACCCAACCTAAAAATAAGAAGCCTTGTTTAGAAGAATTAGTTCTAAAACTTGGTACACAATTATAAAGTTATGCAGATACCATTAGGAATAATAAAAAGAAATTAGGAAAACTAACTTGATCTTTAAATAATAGACTTCAAGGAACTTTAACTCACAATATTAAAATAAATCCTAAAGAAATGGGTGAAGAATAATACAAAGCTATTCAATGGAAGAGTGGGAAAAAGTTATAAAATATGTATAGATATAAGGATCAATCTAAGGTAGACTCACCTATAGAAGAACCAATAGAGGTCCACTAACCTAAGGAACCCCCTCAACTTGAAAAAAGAAAAAAGAAAAAAAAAAAAAAAAAAAAGAAAAAAACTTGTTAGAGAGGTAGTAGAAAGGCCACCACCACTATTTCACCAAAGATTGTTAAAACAAAAATTGGATACATAGTTCTTAAGGTTTTTGAAAATATGTAAAAAGTTAACTATTAATATTCCATTTTTTGAAGCCTTATAGCAGATGCCAACCTATGCTACATTCATGAAAGATATCCTTACTAAGAAGAGAAGATTATGAAAATTTGAAACCATAGCTTTGATTGAGGAATGTAGTGCAATTGTGTAGAAATAACTTGCTCAAAATCTTAAGGACCATGAGAGTTTTACCATTTCTATGGCTATAAGGGATAAAGTTTGGATTAGAGCACCATGTGATTTAGGAGATAATATCAATTTAATGCCCTTATCCATATTAAAAATACTCAATCTTGTTATGAATCTAATTTTAGAAAATATAATTTTGATAATAGCAAAAATTTTCTGTTACTTCTGTTTTTCTACGATTGCCTTGCCTACTAACGTTTCAGGTCCACAAAATCAAATTGCAATTTAAACCAACTCAAGATTGGGTAGATTAGGACCGAGTCAGGTTTTAATGTACATCAAATGTCTTTTACATTTTTTTGAGGCCATTGTAACCATGTGGGTCCTGATACTAAGTAATCTTGCACACACACACTTGGGAGAAATTTTTGACTATTTTAGAGTTTTCTGTTTTCAGTCACATCATCTGGGATAATCCAATAATCATCCTAGATGATGAGTTAAAAAGTAAAACCTAATTAGGGCATATTGATTAGGGCAGCCACAATTAAGCAAATTGTCCTGAACGATATTTTCATTGTTCGGGATGATATAGTCAATTTAGAAAGAATCAGCCATAACCTTTTAGGCATGTTTTATTTTTGGACATCATCCTGGATGATGCAATACAATTTTTCCTAAATTAGCTTATTAATTAAGGAAAGCAATTAAGGTTTAATTGCTCGATCATATCATCCTGGACGATCAATTAAACAAACCTTAGTTCTTACTAGACGAACCATAATCGGCCAAGCTCCATCTAGAGTGATATTCTGTATGATATGTGATGTTTTGTACTAATCATCTCGGATGATCGTGAGATCAGCCTGGACGATCTAATTATTTTTTCATCATCTAGACATCCATCCAGGGTGATGGTTTGGATGATATTTGATGATTTGTACTAATCGGTCCATACGATCGTGAGATCATCCTGGCCGATCCAATTACGATTTCATCATCCAAATATCCATCCAGGGCGATGGTCTGGATGATATTCGACGAATTGAACTAATCATACATGACAATATACTATCAGCCTAGACAATATGAACAAAGAAACCTTCTAATCGTCAAGACTCTCCCAAATCATCTTAGCTGATTAAGCTAAATTTGAACTGATCATACGAGATGATTAGTCGATTGTCATGAATGATATTTATCGATTAGTTGCAAATTAGGGCAAATTTGAAGCCCTTTTTAAAAAGATATTTTATTTTCTCAAGAGATCTTTTGCTGCTGTCCTCACTTGAGGGAGCTAAGAGGAGAGGGAGAGCAAAGGAGAGAGAGAGAGAGAGAGAGAGAGAGAGAGAGAGAGAGGATCTTATGAGGGGGAGTTTTTGAGGGGTTTCACAAAGGTTACTCCAAGCAAGGATCCACGCCGTCTTCACCGGTCGTCATCCCTGGTTCCTTGGGGGTTCAAGAGAGGTCTACTTTAGCAACTAATCAAGGTTCTCTGCCTACTTCAGGAGGAAGCAAAAGGAGTTAGGTTCTCTACCCGCTTTAAGAGGAAGCAAAAATAGTTGGGTTCTCTGCCTCGCTGGGGTCAGTGGAAAGAAGTTTTTGTATGGGCTTCTTTGCCTTACTGTGGAGACAAAAGGAGAGACACTGTGTTTAGTGCAATACCTAGAGGAGATGCTCCGGGGAGTGGATGTAGGTCAAGTTGACCAAACCACTATAAAACTTTTGTGTTCTTTCTTATTATACATTCGCATTTAATTTTCACACTTTATTTTCTATGGTGATTGTTTGGTTGTGTTTGTGATTTTGTTTAGAGAACTTTTTAAATACCAATTCACCCCCCTCTTAATTAGCCTCAGGACTAGTTCATAAAGGCTTAACATCCCTGACTAACTTTCAAATCTTAGAAAAGTCCAATCTATCATTATTACCCTTTAGTTAGTAGACCATTCATTAATTTTTTCAATGGGGGTAATAAAGAATGTACTAATTAAGGTAAATAAAATTATCTTCTTTTTAGATTTTATTTTCTTCGATATAGAAGAAGATAGGGAGATCTCGATTATCTTAGGTTGACCTTTTTTAGCTACTAGTAGGGCCATGAAAGATGTGTATAAGGGTGAATTGATAATGAGAGTGCAAGATCAAAAAGTGACCATCAATATCTCAAAGTTATTAAGATTTCATAGTGAACAAAATGAAGATTATCATATAGTAAACTTAGCTGATGGTTGTGGCAATGATTGCATGGAGGATTTATTTTTAGATAGTTCTTTGGAGATTCTGTTATGTGAGGATGATATTGGAGTGGGAGATAAATATTATGTTTAAATGGTTAGTTAAGCCCCTATAATTTTTAGGGATTGGTTTGAAGTGCTTGATATCTCGTCCTTATGTAGAGCTTTAAAACCACATTTTATTGAGGCACCTATATTAGTGTCAAAAGCCCTGCTTTCCCATTTAAAATATTCCTTTTTAGGAGAAAAGTCAACCTTACCAATTAACATTTCAACTAAATTAGGAGAAGAACAAAAGTGGAAGTTGATTAAGGTTCTTAGTAATTATTAAATAGATTTAGATTGGACCATAATATATATCAAAGGAATCAGTCCATCCTCATACACAAAGAAGAATCTAATGGAGGAACATTCTTCCCAAAAGCTAATCCCCAAAGTTCAAATTTCTTATGAAAAAAAATATCAAGCTTTGATTGGTGAAGTGAATTCATTTGTTGCAAGAATTTTATATAGGAATCCTTAATAGAAATCGTATTGAGAACTAGGTTGCTGATCATTTATCTAGGATAGAAATGGAAGAACTTGAATGTCATGAGAGTGAAATTAATGAAATATTTCCCAACGATCATTTATTTACTATGTATACGTATGGCATGCCTTGGTATGTTGATGTAGTGAATTATATTGTCAATGTGGTTATTTTGTCTAATATTTCTTATAAACAAAGGAGTAAATTTTTGCATAGTGCTAAGTTCTATTTTTGGAATGAGTCACTCTTGTCTGAGAAATATAAAAAACAAATTATTAGGCAATATACCTTTGAAAATAAAATTAAAACCATAATTAGGCAGTGTCATGATTTGCAGTATGATGGTAATTTTGGAAGTTTTAAAACTACTTTTAAGATTCTTCAATCTAGATTTTATTGGCATTCCCTATTAAAAGATATAAATGAATATGTTAAAAATTATGATTGTTTTTAGAGGGGAAGTAACATAATAAGAATAAATGAAATGCCTCTTTGCAGTATGTTAGAAGTGGAGAATTTTAATATTTGTAGAATTGGTTTTATGAGACCATTTGTGTAATTATATAGAAATTAATATATTCTAATATTAGTTTATTATATCTTCAAGTGGATAAAAGGACTAGCAACCCATAAAATGAATGCTCATGTGGTTATTCAATTTCTTAAGAAAAAATATATTTATTTTGGGATTTGGAGTACCTGGAGTGATTATTAGTGATTGGAGAAGTAATTTTTGCAGTAAGAGTGTTGAGGCATTGATTTTAAAATACACATTCAACTTAGAGTTGCAACTGCTTATCATCCCCAAACTAGTGGTCAAGAAGAAATTATTAATAGAGAGATTAATAGAATTAAAAAAAATACTATAAGTCCTAATAGGAAATATTGGGCTTTAAAGTTAGATGATGCACTTTGGGCTTATAGAAATATAATTAAGACACATATAGGAATGTCTTCCTATATATTAATGTTTAGAAGAGCTTGTCATGTATCACTAGAGTTAGAGCATAAAGCCTTTTAGGTCATAAAAGAATTTGATTACAATCTTAAGAATGCCAAGGAAAAGTGATTAATAC